ACCTCTCTCTCTCTCTCTCTCTCTCCCTCTCTCTCTCTCTGTGGATTTGTTGGGTTGCCACTAATACAGAGCGGATACGTTGTTAATGTGGTTAGTGTGTGTTAGATGTATAGCTAGACTGCTAGACCCATTATCCACGATTAGTGTCCGTAGCATTCTAGCCTTTAAAGCAATTCATCTAAATGATTAATTCCGTTTTCGAGGATTAATTATGTACATCTCAATAATTAATATGCGATAATTAATAAGCGGAGTTTTTTAATCAGTGCGAAGCGTGTATTAGCTTGACCACCCAGCCGACTCCCAGCCATGCTCGGGAGCAGCGCCGCCTGTGGTATTATGCTGCAGCAGGTGGCGCCACCTGTGTTACCTTTCTTGGCTTTAGCGTCGTAGCGACGGCTTCCGTAGTCGGCCCGTCGGTGAAGAACGTTAACTGTAAAACACGCACACGCAGTGAAAAAACCGCAGCAGCGACGACGGCAACGCGAGCGCCACCTGGCGGCTTGCCAGAACGCGAGCGCCGTGACGGGAACGCGAGTGCCACCTGGTGACGTGCAAGCACGCGACGAAGAACGCGAGCGCCACCTGGTGACGTGCCAGCGTGCGACCGCTGGCGACGGAAACGCGAGCGCCACCTGGCGGCGTGCCAGCGTGCGACGGAAACGCGAGCGCCACCTGGCGGTGTGCCAGCGTGCGACCGCTGGCGACGGAAACGCGAGCGCCACCTGGCGGCGTGCCAGCATGCGACCGCTGGCGGCGGAAACGCGAGCGCCACCTGGCGGCGTGCCAGAACGCGAGCGCCGTGACGGGGACGCGAGCGCCACCTGGCGGCAACGGGGGATCCGAACGAAAGCCGGCAATTTTCGGCGGGAACGACCTCTCGTTGCGGCTGCTCGCATCGTTCTCTTGTCGTCGTCGTCGTCGTCATCGTCGTAATTTTCGCGATCGACGCTTTCACGGTAGCGGGGATTTAAAAGGTTTTTACGCAAAACGCGACGGTTTCGTCGGTTTCGTAGCCGGGAGACGTAACGACGTGAAAAGCGATTTACTGCGATTTTCGCTCATTTCGCTCGGACTCTGCAATTAATGTTGAGATTAATTATGCCGCCGAAACCGTGTCGTCGCAAACGATGAGAAAGCGATAGCGAGACAGCGCGTGAAAGCGATAGCGAGACAGCGCGTGAAAGCGATAGCGAGACAGCGCGTGAAAGCGATATAGCGAGACAGCGCGTCGAAACCGCGCGAGACGACACTGATGATGAGAGACAGCGAGACGGACACGAGACGGGTTGCACGCGAGACACGCTGAGACACTGATGATAAGAGACAGTGAGACGGGCATGAGACGGGTTGACAAGTCTCGCGCGCACGTACGTGAGTGGTCATTGAATCACAAGTGGCGCCCCCACCCAGCCCTTCGTGCGAGGCGTCGCGTGGCCAAATGCGATTCGAGCCAAACGAGACTAGCAAACCGAGAACGCGACGCAGCGGAGACGACAGTGATGAGGCAGTTGACTGGAGAGCTGGAGAGCAACCAACTGGGAGGGGGAGGAGGTTGGGGTGAGGGTGAGGAGGAGGTGAGAATGAAGAGGAGGACATAGAGAAGGAGGAGGAAGAAGAGGAGGTCGAGTAGGAGGAGGAGGAAGAGGAGTAGGAGGAAGAGGAGGGGGAGAAGGAGAAGGAGAAGGAGGAGGAGGAGGAGAAGGAGAAGGAGAAGGAGGAGGAGGAGGTCGAGGAGGAAGTCGAGGAGGAAAAGGAGGAAGAGGAGGAGGAAGAGGAGAAGGAGAAGGAGGAGGAAGAGGAGGAGGAGGAGGAGGAGGTCGAGGAGGAGGAGGAGGAGGTGGAGGAGGAGGAGGAGGAAGAGAACAGGTAGTAGAGGCGGATGCGAGACAGCGTCGTCGTCGTCCTGCGATCATCCGTCTCCGCGTGCGTGCGTGCGCTCTCTATCGCGACGAATGATTTACGATGAGATTGGTGATATGACAAAGCAGGCTTCGCTCTCCCGGGGGACCCGTCATCCCGCTGTCTCATTGTCACATGCTCCCTGGAATGCTTGGGCGATGACCGTCAGATGTTGGGAAGTATCCCGGAATACCCCGAATGTCACGTGCTCCCGCTCCCCGGAATGTGGAAAGGTTTGCCCAGGCCACAATTTAAAAAAAATATTTGTTTGCCTTCACCCGACCCAGGCTGAAAGGTTTGGGTAGGTAGGTAGGCTTCTTTTTTTGAGGGGGTCTTTTTACAAATTCAGCATGGTGTCTACATGCTCGGGTGTACATGTGCTTGTGTGCAGATACCTTTTATGTTGAATGTTTGTTTTGCTTAGTACAGATATAATGTATTGCCTACAGATTTATATAATGTAGTGATACAATTTCTAAAAAAAAGAATGGGAAAGATCAATAATGTTTTTTGAGTCGGCCCCTTTTTGGCGGATCGGTCGTGTGAGGGCAAACAAACTATATTTTTATTATGGCCCCATCGGCCGTTGGGAAGTAACCCGGATTTCCTCGCGAGCCGCAGCGAGCGAGTGAGTGGTAGGCTCTCGGTCGTCTTCCCGCACGTTCCGGAATCTACGCCGGAATTTATCGCCCGCAAACCCGGAATCAACGCGACGTGGCAACATTCCGTGGACATCCCGCAGGGAGAGAGGAGGAGGGGAGGGAAATCCCTGCTGATTGTTTATCCGAAGTCCGGATCCAATCGCATTACACCAGGCGACGCCATGCTGGGTATGACGCGGCTCGTCATTGGCTCACGATCCGTCATCGTGCGCGTTGTGTACGGCGTCGCCGGCGTCGGCACGGCAACCCCGGCCGTCGCCGTCGCCTGAAGCCACACCTGACGACGCAGACGCTTACCTGCGAAGACGATGACGACGCAGATGTTGTCAACGGCAGCGGGAACAGATTGACAGTCAACACACAGTCAAATTAGGAATGCACTCAAAACAGAAATCTCACGTTAAACATGTCCCCCCCCCCAAAAAAAAAACCAACCTATATGCGACATGTAGGATGTGCCTAGAATAAGCCCTATTATGTTGACAATGGCAGGGGTGACAATTGACAGTCAAAACTCTAAATTAGGAATGCACTTAAAACAGAAACCTCATGTTAAACCGGATGTTTTTCCCCTGAAACCATATGTGACATGTAGGATGTGGCTGGAATAAGCCCTATTATAAACCGAATTTCACAGAATATGGCCCGAGGGTGGTCAGTATTGGGACAGTTGACTCTATAACGATATTATGACAATTGATATTGATGACAAATGACGATCACGACGATGATAACGATGACAATCAGAGTGATGGACATGTTAATTACAATAAATGACAGTGATAACAACTATAATTAAAACCAGATAAACATAATGACAATTAATGACTTTAGAAACAATTATACTGAAAATGCTGACAATTATAATGAATATGAGATTAACAATGATTGCTATAATAATTACGATACTGGTGACAACAATGACGACGATGACAATCACAGTAACCGTGACGACAATGATGACAACATACCCTGGGTGACCTTCCTGCTGGCAACGTGCCAGCCGATGACGGGGTAGCCTATGTGGTCAGCAAGGCGGCCATCTTGAGAACTGACCTCTATGTGGGATAGACCCGGGATGGAGTAGACACTGGGATTCTTCCCACATCCAACCTGTTACAGATATTCGATTCGAATTATCACTACAGCAAAGAACTTGATTCGGGAGGGGCTGTTTGGTTGGATGTTTGTTTGGTTGTTTGTTTGGTTTTGTTGTTTGGTTGGATGTTTGTTTGGTTTTGTTGTTTGGTTTTGTTGTTTGGTTGGATGTTTGTTTGGTTTTGTTGTTTGGTTGGATGTTTGTTTGGTTTTGTTGTTTGGTTGGATGTTCGATTTGTGGGCCACGTTCATAAACGTCAAAATTAATGCTGAAACATCGTAAACTTGTTTAACGGATGTTCACACAAACACTAAACAAAAGAGCATCCACGCTTCTCGCACATCTGAAACAATCTCACCGAAAACAAGCAAATGCCTCAGCCACGACGAACAAATATTTTGCGCACCAAGAACAAGCAAACGTCTCTCACTACGCAACGTACAAGCGGACGTCTCCCCTCCGACAAACAAGAGAACGACTCGCCAGCCGACAAGTGAACATCTCTCACCTGCCACGAGACGAACACGCCGCCGTGGGCGGGCTTGCGCGCGTTTCCCGGACCCGCCATGACGGCCGCGCTGTCAAACAGCTTCTGGTCGTCTGCGACGGCGCGCAGACGCACGCGGTCCCTCGCCACGTTCACGTACTGCTGCACGCGCTCGACGACGGCGACGCGCTCGCGTGGCGCCATCGCGTGGAGGTCCGCATCCAGCACCACCGTCAGCACGCTCGCGGCGTCCCCCGGCTCACAGGGGGCGCCACTGTCCATCGGCGCCGCGTGCAGCTCCTGGTCCGTCTGCGTGACCTGGCGAGGTCGGGCGGGAGAATGGAAGGCGATAATTAATAATTATTCAATTATCAATTATTCAATTATCAATTGGTTATAATAATTATAATGAAAAAGTATTATTTAAGAATTTACTAATTATTAAAAAAATCACAATTCGTTTTGGATAAATTTTGATTAATAAATAATGAAACAATTTATTGATTTATTGACAACTATAATTATTTATAAGAGCTTGTTTCTTGTATGTTCGACTCTACGAGGTTAAGCATCACACTTGCGCGTTAAGGATACTGTTAGGGTTGGGAGGTGAATTTCGGTCGAAATTTCAATACCCACTTTATTTGATAGAGTGCAGCCATGGGCAGCTATGTATACGTAGAAATTATGTATGTAGCCTCCCAAACAGTTCCAAATCCCTGCATTAGTCAATTCTTAACACAGGCGTTCAATGATGGGAAATTTAGAAAAGTGCTGATATCTCGGTTGTTAAAAATGCTAAAGTAGGTGATTTTTAAAACGCTATTTCTCGAAACTCGCAACTCCGATTCCAAAATTTTTTGTTACAGTTCTATGCTAACATATCAAAGGAAAAAAGGCTACCTAGAATTGTTTTTTTATATTAAATTTTATGAGTTATGGTTCTTTGTTTACGAAATTGTTGCGTTTATAAATTCACTACAAATTTGTGTACATCTTTTCAACTTATTTCTTAAATTTAAAAATTTAAAAAAAGTTCCAGGGACCCTTTTTTAGTTCATATTATAAACAACTTATGGTTAAAAGTTTAGGTCCCAACTCTGCCGTTTCTGAGAAATAGCCAAAAAAACGTTTTTTTGTATAAATTCACAATTTTTGCCGTCAATTAATTAACAATAAATTTAAAAAAAAATTCCATCGAGAGCATAGAGAGACATCTCTCGCATGTAACGGATATTAGTTTGATTGAATTTGATGAGTAGTTATGTTGCAATGCCCTTTACAGTGTTACCGTTCCGTAACCCTAACAGTATCCTTAAGGATAACGCTCATGTTCTAACGATCACGCTAACGTTTTAACGATTACTCTCGCTCGCTAATGACCACGCTCGCTCGATAATGTTGCACGGGTGCTGACCTCTACGTCGAACACGTCCTTGGCCTGGTCACCGGCCGGTCCCGTGGCGGTGACCAGCAGGTAGTGGTGACCGACGTCCGGTTCGCTCGGGACGCCCACGAACGTCCACGCCACATCGTCAAAGTGAAGCCATGCAGGCAGACCGGCGCCCCCTGCCTGCACAATCTGTAAACACAAACACGCACTAGGATTATAACTCAGCGAGCACACTAGCGCCCCCTGCCTGCACAATCTGTAAACACAAACACGCACTAGGATTATAACTCAGCGGGCACACTAGCGCCCCCTGCCTGCACAATCTGTAAACACAAACACGCACTAGGATTATAACTCAGCGGGCGGCACACCAGCGCCACCTGCCTGCACAACCTGTAAACACAGAGACATACTACGATCAGATATCTGCAGGCACACCAGCACCCCCTACCGGCACCTTTCGTGAATGCGGTCCGACGCATGCTAAGCTCCCAGCATACGACGCGAGGCCTACGTTCGCACGTGCCCGGCACGCTAAAACCTTTTAACTTAACTTGTTACTTCGCTGTAATTTCGTGTTACTCCACGATCTCAGTCTGCACAAAACATTACGCTGCTGAAACATTACGACACAAGTCTCGCGCGCACGTACGTGAGTGGTCATTGAATCACAAGTGGCGCCCCCACCCAGCCCTCCGGTCTACTCTTTCATCTCCTTCTCCCTCGCTCCTGCCTCTCCTTGCTCTGCCCCTCCTCTCCTCTCCTCTCCCTCTTCCTCCTCCTCCTACTCGACCTCGCCTCTCTTCTTCTCCTCCTGCTATGTCCTGCCTCTTCAATTCGCACCTCCCTCCTCACCCTCACCCCGACCTCCTCCGCCTCCCAGTTGTTGCTCTGCCAGCTCTCCAGTCAACTGGCCTATCATCTCCGCTGCGTCGGGCGTTCTCGGTTTTGCTAGTCTGTTTGGCTCAAATTCGCATTCGTGCCACGCCGACGTCCTCGCACGA